AGGGTTAATGCACTGAAAATATCAAGTTTAGAACAAATATTGCAACAACAGATGGCATATGGTCTGAAATGTACCAGTACAAAAGTATCTGCTTTGATTGATTTAGGAGAGGAGGGGGTGATTCTGGAAACAGATCCTACATGTACATTTTTTACTTACAAATTCAAACTTCAGAAAAGTCAGCACCTCTTCAAGTGACATGTTTCTGCTTGTAACATCTTGGGATCCACATTCATATTTTCCTGCAATTTAACAATCAATTATCTTTAAAGACGTGTTCTTCCTCATCCTTGGATTGTATACGCTGCATGCAGGCCTTGCACCAACTTTTTTCCTGGGCTAGATAACTGCGGATTTTACAAGGCTTGATCAAATTTTTACTATCCACTGTATAGAAATTGCCATATTTTCAATATTGCTTAGTCAGTGGAAAATTTGGCTCGCCGCACACAACACACACACAAATATGGAACACAAATGTGCATGGGTTCAATGTCGGCACAAAATGACACAGGCTCTTTTGTGCAGTCCTCTTCACTGCAGTTGGTTTACTGCACAATGACACACATGAAACAGTGAGGCATAACTGTTGGACAGCACAAAAGTGCAACCTGATATTCCTGTGAGGGACTGTTGGTGCAGCGCACAATATGACACAGCTGTGCCTCTTTGTGCAGCTGACAAAATGACCCAAAGAGTAACTTCAGCACAGGAGGGTTAAAGTGGCTTGGCATAATGCACAATAGAGATGCATGGCCAGTTTAGGTAAAAAAGGTTGTTAATGGTGTGAAAGACTAAAAAGAAAATACTGTACACATGCATGATTCACTGCTGTGAGCTACATGTAGCCACACTGTGCTAAACCTACTGCAGCCTGACAGTCTACCCTGTTTTTTCCCATCTAAAGTGCAATGCAAATGCATGCTCTCAATCATGACTGAAAAAACATATAAAAAGATCAGTTACTGGATTTATTTGGATCCTCAATTCATTTAATACTGAAAGCATCACATGAATTTTAATGTTAATTTTACATGTACATGTAGGTTACTGACTTTCTCATCAGACAACCAAGGAAGCAGATTTCTGTGACATAGAACACCTTCAGTAGATTTTATGTCACACTGGTTGAACATGTATGTATTTTGAGCCAAAAGGAGCATATTACAAACCAAAGGGTGCAGAACACAATACCAAGGTTTTTAGGATCTCTGTGCGGGAAGATATAATCAAGTGGGAAATTTAATGAAAACTTGCATGTTTAACCCTAACTACCGGTATCCCAAACCTGCCATATTCCAACAGCAGGTTTTGTGAGGTTTGGGCAGGTTTGGTACCGTAGCTGATGAACTTCTTGTTAAATTTTGTGAGACTTGGGATGAAAGGTCGAGGGAGATGGTGTTGGATTCTGTGTGAGTTGGGACACGCAGGGTTCAGTGTATGCAGTGTCTGGCTTGCTGTACCAATTGTTGGACTATGCTTGATTTTGTCAGGTTTGGTACATTTCAGTGCCAGTCATCCTATACTGCATAGACCCATCCATACCATATCACTCAAACTCCAACGGGCTCATTCTGTTGGAGTTTATCACGACCATGATGGAGTTGATTCCCAGCTTGTCATGTACCGGTACAATATTCCTATTCACACAATCACTGCGACTGAGAACAAGTGACTGACATGATAGCCTTAAATTCAAAGCTAAATGTACATGATGTATGTGTTCAGCCCACTAACTGCCCGTAAACGATGCGCAGTACAGGCACAAATCAACTTGCAGAAGGTGCGTGTTCAGACAGTTCACTGCGCTGTGCAGTACTTGGCGCTGCTGAAACTTCAGTGGTTTCGATGATCATAAAGGCATGCAGGCCCAGACAATGCATGCGGCATTGCATGCACAGCTTGGCAGCCTTGTTTTTAAGGCTACTAAAGAGACAGGGCTACACATGCATATTATGCGTGCAGTGTGTGACCATCATTGAACTCGAGACAAGTTTGAGGTGAAAATAAGCACGTTCCTATGTGTGTTTCTTTTCCGGCTTTTCTTTTGAGCAAGAGGAAAAAAACAGGAAAAATGGAATTTCGGGGTTTGCTTTCAAAAAAAGAAATACAGAGGCAGTGGACCATGTATATTTGGGGCATTCTTTTTTTCATTCTCATACCAAATGGGGACACTTTTCATGAAAAATTCCAAAAATGAGTTACTTGGCACATCTTTGGAAATGACCTCCTGTTGTTTAGAAGAAATATACCACACAGGGAGTTTACTGTCATCTCTAAATTACATTAAATTTTTAACAATAATTTGATTGGATGGTTTTTAGTCGGCTACAAACAGTCCACTCTTTCTTTAACCCAACTGCAGACTTTCATTGACGTCAACACAACTGTCCATGCTCTCACTGGGATCTCATTCAACTGACATGAAGTTGGTTCCATGGGTAAATGCACTTGAAAGGTACATGTACTGGCAATTAAAACTCAGGTGCAGTAATTTTGGAAGATGAAATAAATGTACATGTACATGTATGTGATCGGATAGAAGGAAAGAGGAGAAGGGTCACTCACCAGCTACCTCTGACAACTTGTCATACAAGGACTGCACAATCCTCATAGCCTCAGTATGCTGTGTTTTCATCAATGGGAACCAGGATAAGATAAAAGTATAAGAATTAAATCTGCAACATGAATAATCAAACCAGGTAATTGTAAGTTTGTCAACATGGATGAGCTGCAAAGCAAATAGGACCAGACAGTGATCTACTGCACATGTACAACACACATGTACATGTAAAACACACATGTACACACACAGGTATACATAGAGACTTACATGTGCATGTACACGTGTCTGAGGAAACACCGATACTACAGTACCACACTCAGAGTCACTCACACATGAATTCTTGAACTTGAGCCACATTTATGTATTCTGGCAATTCACACAACCATTGGTCAAAGTATTCAATGCACTGTACCAGCTGCATGACTATGGTGTCACTGAAGTACTGGTGTCTAATTTTAGTCAATGGATTGGTCTATACGACAAAACATACCGGGTAACAGTGATGTCCTAGAACATGTACCAGCCTAATACAAAAGTTCTGTGAGGGAAAAACGCCCACTGATTGAATTCAGGATTAGTGAAGGCAGAGTGATTTCGCACTCTTCTTTATGGGTTAAACACCATCAGGGGCAATACTTTTATGTATCCTGTTCCAAACATGGGGTAACTTGATGTTTTGATGAAAACAATCAAAGATGGAGACAAGTAAGGTACATGTACTTACAGAGGTTCAAGTTCAGCAGAAGCAATCAATCCTGCTTATGTCACTCCGAGACACTTACAGTATCATAATGGATACGAATGCCAATGAAGTCATATAAGCAGTACACTAATGATCTTATAAAACATAATGTACATTGTACATGCACTGTATATCCAATGATACAGTAAGCATTGTTACAGTACTTGAGCCTCATACACATGCATACAGTGCATCACATCTGTGAGAGGAGCATTTATTCCTTGCAATTTCCCATCACTACTTCTTACCCGTTTTATGTCATTACTGCTACTGTCAGCGATGTACTTCATATCTGAAATGAGAAGAAGAATGGTGCAGGTTATCAGCCACTCCTTCAGTATTTACAAGTACAGTACATGTACCAGTACATCATGTGTTTATGGCGAGCAACTATTTAAGCCCGGCCTTTCACATGTTTAATGTTTTAACAAAAAAAATTTAAAAAAAATACATCTTGAAAATAGTTCACGGTACCCGCTGCTTCATTTGACTCAGACT